AGAAACTAAATATGCTTAGCTCAAAAAGCTTCCAAGTTAGAGTATCAAAAATAGTTTATTAGTAAATCAGATTAAGCAACTCCTTGCAGTAAAATCCACTAACACTTCACCTTAAAAATCTTGCTTAAATAGGGACCATAGTCCCAGGGGACATCAAGCTCAATTGGCATAACATACTACACACTGTTCTACCTCCTACTTTGGCGAGTAGCAACTGGGATCTTAAAACCTTGCAAGCAGCCATCTAGATGCAACAATGGGTCTCTCCTCATTCAGAGCAAAGAAGAATGAAGAAAATCAAAGATTCATAGAAACTATTAGTCCAAGCAACTGGTACACCACGTGATCCTTAGCCTATACGACTATGAGACCATAAGAACTAGATGGTGCCTGGCTACCACTGTCAACCACTCAGAGGAGGATCTATGTAGGACATCCTGGATAGAGTAGGAGAACAATGTGGAACAAAACTCAAAATCATTTAGGGAAAAAAAAAAGGGACCAGGTTTTCTGGTCTGATAGAGCCTGATGGAACAACTAAGACTATGGCCCCTAGCTGGCCTTCAGGTCTGGAACTGAACACACCTGTGGCTTCCAGCCAAACAAAAGACAGACACAAGAGATGAATATTTACACTTAGGTAGATATACTTTCTGGAGAGAACAATCATGGGAGAATAGAAGGGCTGTGTATGCACAGGGACATAGCTCAGGGGGCAGGAATGCATGGAGGGAAGGACACAGAAAAGAGCTAACTATGGAGAAGAAGTGGGAGGGGAGTTGTTGCATTGTGGTAAATTGTAGTCAATGTCATGAGACAAAGTGTATGTGAACTACCTATGGCAAGTGAATTTGCTCTGTAAACTTTCACCCAAATCACAATTAAAAAAGAAACAACATCTTGCTTAAAATATAAAAGTCTCCTTTTACCCTTGAATCAAGTATTATTTTTGTAATTAATTTCAAATCTATGCAATAATGTGATATACACATTTTGGAAGCTTACTGATTAAACAAACCTACCTTAGTTCCTTAATGTTAGACGTGACCAATGACAAAATCAAATTTGTTAAGCAAATATAAATATGGGAAGGGGAGAGTTTTCAGTCAAAGTTACAAGTAAGTATAACTCTGTCCATTAGAAATCAAATGTTGATTCCATTAAAGTAAAAATCATGTAATAATAGAACTGAGTTGCTCAAAATAATGAAAAAATAACCCCTGAACACTTTCATAGTAATGTTTATTTAAAAAAAAAAAAAAAAAGCTGAAATGGGAACACACACATCTTCCTTTCCCACCTAAAAGATCCTTTCTAAGAAAGATCATAAAGAAAAACAATGAAGTTAGCAGCACTATACTGACCAGGTGTTACTGCGGTTTGGTTATGACTTTGAGCTGCAACGTTAGCTGGAGCTTCCTGCAGTAGGTCTACTGCTCCACCCCACCCACCCCTAGCATCAGAAGAGATGCTTCTCTTCTGAGGTGTTAAACATTTGGGTTGCATGAGGGACAAATGGAAGTTTGACACCTAAGAGGAATAACCACAGTGCTTTAACTTAATGGCAACTTTCACTATGTTAAAACCAGCCATGCTCACTCTCTACCATGTGCCAAGACTGAACCCAGGATGTAAAGAAGTATTCTTTCCTTTAATACGGTACCACCAGCCTACAGGGCTTTTCATAAATAAGGTTCAGAGCAAGTAAGGCTTGGGAGTATGCTTTTAATAAACTCTCTAGAGTCCCTGCTCTGAAATATTTAACAGGCTTCTGAATCTTCTTCCCACTTTGTAAAAGAAGATCAACTCAAGCCAAGGTTTACTCTGCTTTAACAACTCACACTGACATCAATGTGTTATAGGCCCTTTCTTCTTAGATCCAGTTTAGCTGAACTTAGAATTCTCACTTAACACTCTTTGAGAGACCCATTCATAACAGTTCTGGTATAGGCACACACACTTCTAAGAATTCCAGTTCTGGAAGGATGTAATCTGACAATTAAAACGCCCCTTCAGAAAGAAAAAAGCTGGATCAATAATAAAGGTGGACCTCATGAGTAGCTAATACCATATTCCAGTCACAGGTAAAAGTTGTGCAAGCATATATATGTCAGTGTTTGTCTTAAAAAAAAAAAGAGAGAGAACAATCACAGAAATGCTCATATAAGCTTTTAGCAGAAACATTTCTGTGCTCCAATTGGCCAGAGTTGGTATTCTCTGGATTACCTACCAAAAAAAATCACCCTAGTTACCTACAAATGACAGACTGACTGTTTTCCAACCCTAATGCCTTTGGGCAACAGAAGCCATAAACAGCAGTTGTTTTGTAATGCAAATTCAAGTAACAGGCACACCTCAAGGATGCTCCCATCCTAAGCCCAGACGCAAATGGTCAACCTGCTCCTGACACCCCACAACAAAACCTATCACTGTAAATGTCAGTGACACAAACACCCAGTCCTGCTAAAGACAAGAGTTAAAGAGCAGGAAGAGAGAAATGTGGTTAAGGGTGAGGAAGAGAGGCTGCCTTCCGGTTACAGTGTTTTTGATCTCAGACACATTAAAAACAGCTGTTACTTATTAACAACCAAAGATTGCAACTCACTTGGGTTGGACCCTAAATTTTTTTTTTTTTACACTGCCTTGTGGTTAAAACTGAAAAGCTTCTGGAATTGTGCAAACTACAGAATATTACAAGAAAACAGTGCCTAAAATAATTATGTTCTAAAATGTAACAGAATAAAGCAAAGGAGCAGATAACAGGTTAAAGTAACTATTTCTTGACCACAACCCCTTTCTTCAGCCCTACACCCACCAACATTTATCCTGGCCACAAATCTTTCCCAAACAATGAATGAATGCTCGATTCACTGACCTCAAAATTTTAATACATACACCAACAATAAATATCTTCTATTTTATCAAAATTTCTAAATGATTTGTATTCTTGGGTGGAATAATAGGCTGGAGAGACATAAGGCAGAACGCTGGCTTAAAGAGAAGCTTAATATTCAATACTTTTTAGGGGTAATTTATAAATATAAGTATTATTATACTGGCTTTTAAAAATATACATATTGTTTTGAAGGGAGATGTGGCTGATCTCTGTAAGGAAGAAATCCCACAAGTATTTATTAAGCATTAACTGTGTGCATTGCCAAAAACCATAGGACTGTTTGAGTAGCTGTTTTCTACTGCTAACTAAATCAGAGACTATAATTTCATTTGTCAGAATGATTGTTTGTTCTTCTAAAAAGCCTTTAAACAGTAGCCAGCTCATTTACAAAGTCCAAAGCTAAATATAATTTGCTTACTTCCAACTAGTCCATGATTATTCTCACACTGAAACTGAGTATCTTCAGCTAATCCTAATCTAAAACATGTCCTTTTCTCCAAAGCACCAAAAACAAAAGGCAAAACAGAATAACAAGAAAACCTACCCAATTATAAAAGAAATACTTACGTATTTGCCTATTGAGTTTGCAAATACAGAGGTATCCACAAGTTTTAAAACTGAGAATCATCTATTTGGGGTGGTCTCTAAATATTAAGATATATTTGGATTTATTAATTCATTCACCTCATGCAGGAGACCCATATGTACCACACAATTGTCTCTATCATTCAATATTTGAGAAGTCTTTTAAAATAAAATGTGAAATGCCTATCTCTTGTAAGAACTATCATGGGGTCCCTCAAATCAATGGTAGCTGCTATATGAAAATTGCAAAAACCTTATTTTCTACCTGAAAGATCAAATACCTTTTTGAAATTTGTAGAAAAGTAATCAAAATAAGATTTAAATCACAATGCCCACATGAAGTGGTTATATTTCATATACCTATCATTTCAACAATTGAGGGCTATGGATAATCAAATCAAGATAACCACAAGTACTCTTGTTGGTTGGTACTTTTGATTACAAATCCCCTTGTGCAGAGCATCTTCTTGGTCCCAGATTTTATTCATTAAGGTATCAATGATAGTATTTCCCTCAGATGTTGTGACTGATATTTTCAGTTGATAGAAACACTAAGAGAACAAGGCAAGAGTAAGGCAAAAATCATCTGTTCCATTTCAGGATCTTGGATTTGAGCCCCAAGAGGGCAAGTATGAGTGAAATCCTAATGCCCACCACCTATTCACATGTGATTTTGAACTGAGGGTGGGTGGCAGAGGAAAAGTAAGGCTAGAGAGTAGGTAAATATATTGATGGATCAGAAAAAATCCATCACCACTACAAGAGAGGCAATTCTCAAGCCCTTGGGAGTATAACTCAAGCATCAGCATATTTCACAGTCACCTACTATACAAATTTCCCTTTAGATGTTTTCTTATTATATAAATGAAGTTATTTACACATCTCAATAAAAAAGAAATAGCAAGTAGCATACCTGAAACTCAATGAGTTACATTTTTAGAACTTTTTTTCAAAGTTAATTGAACCACTGGACAAAATATTTTCATTAGAGATTATCTTCAAGTGATATACTCTCAACAATTTAAAGTAGAAATATCACTCACCCCACAACCAATGTTAAAGAAATATTTAGCTAATACAAAACACAAAACATTGTTTTAAAACCCTAAGTAAAATCTAAAGTAGTTTAACTATTTGTCTAAATCTGATTCTAGATGGCTGGTGGAAGCTATTCCACATTTAGTTAAATCAATTTTTTTTCGCTCTCTCTCATCAGCATAAAAAGCACAATACTGATAAAATCATGGATTTGTTGACTTAACTTCATTTTATTTCATGGTAACTCATAATCTATTATTTATTAATCCTAACCAATAAGCCAAAAGCTAAAACTCCAAGTGCAAGACATCAAAGGTAGTACTATTTTAAGGCAGCCATCCATCATAAGAGCTCTTATTAAGCAATGATTGGTCATATAAAATGAAAGCATTTCCAATGTCTTTGAAAAAATAAACATTCAGCCCAAATACAAATTAATTTGCATTTCTGAAATAATCCACAACATCAGCATGTTACTCACTGTTCTTGGGATAGGCGGAGAAAGAGATCCATTTGACATATACGGGTCATTGTTCATATTTGGCATCATTATGTACCCAGAATAACCAGAGTAGGAGGGTCCCTTGTTGTAGAGGCCTCCATCTGGATGCTTTCCTGAGAGAGTCCAAAAACAATCAATGACATGGTAACTTCCCTTTCTGTATCACTGTATTTTTTTCATCTAACGTTCTAAGAAAATGAGATCATACATAAAAGATTTATTTACAAAATACTGTAACTGAATTATCATGATCCATTTTAGATTGGCAGTATTTATGCTCTTAAATGGCTTAGCAGTGAACCAGATGCTTTAAAAACATGTGGTTCAATTTACTTCCGCTACTGACTGGTTTTCACAAAAGTGTTATTCACCTAACTTAATTTGTTCTAATACTAACAAACTGGACCAAGAAATACAGACATATGAAAGTACACAAACTTAAAGCTAATATATTAGGCCTTCTATCTATACTGACACATTAAAAAAACATATTTATACTTCACCTTATAAACCAAAACTATTAAAGGCAAACTAAAAAATTCTACTTTGGGCTTTTAGTTTCTGAATGAGAATTATTTTACTAAAAGGGAGAGAGATGTACCCAGTATTTGGGCAACTACCCACATTTATGAAGGATTAACTCCAGGAGGCTTAATTTTATGTGTCACACTTACATCATTCTGTCAAAGTAATTTGTATTCTGTATGTAGATTTCTTCTTTTTAATCTGTGTAACTATTTGTAGCTGAAAAGGAAACCTGCTATTATACTTCTCTTCCCTTATTCTCCTGGCCAACATATTGTATATATGAGCATGTTATCCTGGTGAGGCTAATTTTAAATAATTAAAGGAGAACAGAAATGCAGACTAGTTGACAAGGAAATCCTACAGAATATTTGACTCTTCTAAAGACACAGGAAATTCTCCTTAAATCTAAAAGAGATAAAATCTTTAAAGTTTTGAGCAAAAATTAGAAATGGGAAGACAGTCTGATTATCTTGTTTAATATGCCTAATACCATAAAAATAAAACAGTATTTTTACAAGTTAGGTTCTGCTTTACTAAGTCTTGCGTAGTCTGTGCATTCACTGCCAACTTCTCACAGTAACAAGAAATGCCAATTAAGCACACAAAAACTCATTCAAAAACATTCTTGTTTTAAATTGGTGTAGACTGTCATCCTTCGTAATGATACAAAAAAAAAAAAAAAAAAAAACACTAAAGAGCTAAGCTATTTCAAACCTAAGGTAAAATGAGAAAAAGAGAGAATTCAAAGAATTTCTTCCCCAAAAGAATCTGGAAACCAACTGAAATCCAAAGGCTTTTAACTCACTCAAAGATATTCTTTAAATTAAATATACATTAGAGATAAGAAATAAGTTTCCTGGGTTTTCCTTCCAATTTTGTTAAATCAGTAGACTTATCACATGTGGTCTATTTCTTGAACTCAAATAAAAACAGCAGAATGTATCTATATATACAAATCATTTCTGTTAAATGATAAAGTTCACAGAAATAGAATCCATCATCAATGTCTTACCTTCATCAGCGTGTTCTCTGGCCTTGTCATGGTAGGACTCCTGAGAAGTTTGAGCTTGTCTGGCCACCTAACAGCATGAATCCCCATCCCCAAAAGAAAGAAAATCACCTTAGAGTTGCTGACAAAAATACCATTGTTTGTCCACTGGTAACTCAAAGGAAGAGGTTTATGTACAACCCAACCTACCTGTTTTATTAATCTAGTCAGTCAAACTAGGGTTGAAAGGGGGCAATCTTTTTCCTTTTTTATTCAACTTATTTTGGAGTGACTATTACCTTTCCAGGATTAGAAAGCGTAATAATAATAACAAAACACTAGCAATATAGTAAATGTAGGAATGATCCATATACTGTTGTGTCTACTGTTTGCTAAAATACATCAAGGCTACTTGGAGGCCTAATATGATAGAAGGCTGAGTTAATGGGGTTGATTGTTCTGAAGCCTCTTCAGCCACTGTTTGCTTCAGTCAAAGCTGATTAAAAGTGGGGTGAAATATCATTTTGCAACTGAAAATGACATTTTAGACATTGACAAGCCAACCACTCACAGAGGGGTCCTAAGGCCATTGCCCTCATCCACCAGGAGCTCCACTAGGCTCCCTATGGCTGGCTGTGTACATACTTACAAGAGAAAAGTAGAACTGTTTTGTGGTTAAAGGGAGGAAAATTAGAGAGTCAGGTTACAGACATCTAAAATGTAGCCGGGTTACTATGAGTTCTGGTAACCACCATCCACCCAGACTCAACCACGTGCAAATCAGTGCTATTACCCCATCACCATCTTCCTTCAACCATAGGCCTGTACTATGCCCACTTGCCACTGTGGTAAAGATGAACAAAGCCCTAATACCTTAGTTCTGGACTGCAAACGCAGTGGCCTTTTCCCTAGACCAGAGAAGTGTGGAAAAATTTGAAGAGGGTGACAAAATTTATTCACAGACTAAGAAATTTCAAGCAAAACGGGTGTGTGTGTGGGGAGGCTGCTCTGTAAATATGAGAATTTGGCAAAAGGCTTCTGAGTGTTTTGGATGTTATGTGATCCCTCTTATATGTGTCCTCCTAGAAATTTCCTCCCCAAATACATACATAATCACAAACTTTTTAAGTGGGGTTGACTGCACCCTAGTCACCCTGAACTCTTAATTGGCACGATGGGTTAAAAGATTCAGGGGATAAAGAAGCTGGGTCCCCAACCCTCCAAAATACATACTCACCCCTGCCATTTGGATAGAGAAGGTAACTCTGAGGTGTTCTTAAACGGGTTGTTTAAAACCCCAGATTTCTCCACCCCCAAAACCACATGCTTTCTTTTTTGGGGGCAGAAGGATGCCATTTAAGGAAAAGGGGTATACCCTCCAAGTTTCTTTGGAGGGAAAAAGCGTTGGTGAAATCATTTGGGTGTCAAGACTCTTCTACCGGATTTCCTCCAAAGCTTTCCCAGTTGGTGAACAAGAGTGGCCAGTGGAGTGTCGGGTATCAGGGTCCATCCGCCCCCACTCTCAGCAGCAGCTCTCCGCAAGGCCTGAAATAGCCCTACCGCATGCAGACCGGCTCCCGGCTTTCTTTCCTTGGCACCCACGTGTCTCTATTTACTCTACTCGGGTTACCAGCGCTAACGCCCCCACCGGGCATGAGATCTGATAAAGCGCCTGCCACCCTCCCAAGCTTGGTGCCTCAGCTTCCGCTGCATCTCCACTTAGACTCGCCTTTTTTCTGCATAGATTTCAGGCCTGATCCGCGCCAAACTAAACCCAAACATAAGCGTCTTTTTTATGTGACGGTCATTAAGAGTTGGAGGAGGTACGGCGAAGGCCCTCCACCTCCCTCAGCGGGCCTGGGCGCTGGGGCTCTGGAGCAGCAGGGACCGGCCCAGCACCGCCCCCGCGCGCCCCTCAGCCCGCCGCTTGGCGGCAGTTGGAAAGGCCCCGCCTGCCCCGGCCCACGCCCGCCCCCCTTCCTCTAGCTCCGCGGGTCTCCCCCTAAGCTTTTTGGTGGTTTAACGCACTTCTGCAGAGACATCTACCGAAAGAGACAGCGGGTGCACTTTGTTTTCCGTCCTAGAAAAGAACTTTTCCGAAGTGTTGTTCAGACATCCTCGCTCTAATTCATCGCAGTCCCGTAAACCCACTAAAAACTCCAGAAGTGAAACACTGTAACTTAAGGGCAGCTTTTCCAGCGATACCAATGCTTACCCACCGAACCCCTAAATTGGTGTAAGTTTCTTTGCATGCTGCTCCCGCCCCCGACTCGCACACAAAAGGGGAATGTGGACCAGGGGCCACCCCCCGCCCCCCAAACAAACAAACGTGGAGGCTACTGCGGACCGGTCAGCTCCCGGTGCCCGCGCCTTCGCCTCCTTTCTTCCTCTTATCTTCCCTGGGACCCAGCCGCGCTTCTCCGGCTTGGGGCAGCGGCCCGCTCACCTCGTGTCCGTTGCTGGCGGGGATGATTTCAGATTCATTGACCAAAGAGGACTTGATGTCGGCTAAGTCGCCTTCCTCTTCGGGGTGACTGATCTCGGCGAAAATCTTCTCCTTCTGGGGGTCGCCCTCGTCTTTGAAGGGGATCATCTCGTCCGTGGCGCAGAGTTCCGGGTCCCCCCCGCCGCCACCGCTTCCCCCGGAGAGCTGGGGCATCCCGACGGTTGAGTAATCTCTGCTCCGCTGGAGGAGCACCCGCGGCGGCAGCGAAAAAGAGAGGGGTCAACGAAAAAGGAGGAGGGAGGCAAAGGAGAGTTGAAAGGGTGCGAGAGGGAGGAGAGCGGGAGGAAACCCCGCGGGCGAGTGCGGGGCAGCCAGCCGCCAGCCGGAGCAGCTGCGGCGGCGCTAGAGCCCTAGCGGCCGCCGGCGCCTTCCCGCTCTGCAGAGACCGACGCCGGAGCCCGCCCCCGAGGCCCAAGGGCACTGGGCTGAGAAGGCGGGCGCGGCCGGCGCCTTTGGGGGCGTCTGCGCGGCGCGCGCTAGGGTAGGTTGCCCGGGCCTGGGCTGCCACCCCACGCCTCCCGCGTCGCCGGGGTCTGCTCGCGGAGCACGCAGGTTCTGCCCAGGGGTTGACTCGCCAAAGTCCTGGGAAGGTCCGACAGCGCGTTGCGGCGCAAACCTCTCTGCGGTATCTTCCAGAGATGCCGATTTGGGAGTTTGCTTTCCGTGAAAAGAGAGATGATTTGGACAAAAAGCCTCCCTTTGCCCCAGCAGAGAAGGCGCAAGGAGAATCAGAAGATAACGCAATGTCTACTTCCTGGAGAATTTAGGAAAAAAAAAAAAGAGCAACCCAGGTTGGAGGTGTCCTTTTTAGAGCCTCTGATTTCCTGCCCTTTCGCTACGGTTTTCTTTCTCTAGGCGCATTTAATCTGCGGGAGGAGAAGGTGGGGGCGGAGCAGCAGGGGAAGAGAAAGAGAAGTTGGCCAAGAATAAAGTTTGTGCCGGCGAGCACTGGGACAAGGCTGTGGAGGGCTTCTCAGGGAGTCACAGCAGGGGCCTCGTTTCCAAATGCTTCTGGCCAGAGTGCGAGCCGACGAACGCACAGGCCGACCCCTCTTTGTTCCCAGCTCGAGTTTCTCAGCCTGGCTCGCAGGCTCTCCCTGTTGCCGCTCTTCACGCCTCCGCGAGGCCCGCTCTATCAAAGCAAATAGCTGCGCCCCTCGGGTTAGCTTGGTCGAGGGGCTGGGGAGGCCAAGAGCCGGGCGGTGTGCGGGGTTCCGGGCGCGTCCCGGCTCCTGGGCAATGGAGCGCGCCGCCCGGGTTCCTCCTCCGCGCCCTGCCCGGCAGGTGAGCTGCTGCGCCTCCCCACCGCTTCTCCTCCCGCGCCTCGCCGGCGCTGAAAAGCTACCCACTTGCGTCGCTTCTCCACCCCCTCCCCTCCTCCGCCTCCAGCTCTTCTTGGCTGCCTGCTCAGAGTGGGGCGGGGGGGGCGGGGAGGTGCGAGAAGGAGCTGGTGATTGAGGGCTTTTTTTTTCTTTTCCCAGAGCCTGTAGGATGAATCCTAGTTTTGGAGGGAGAGAGAGAGAGAGAGAGAGAGAGAGTGTATGTGTGTTTGTCTTAAGGGATGGACCAGGCAACTTGGCGAAGAAAAGAAGGCTTGGTCGCTGCTTGTAACCCACCGAGAAACTAGTTTTGTCTGCGTGAAATGGACAAACTCTAGCCGAGTGGTTCAAGGCTCAACTTCATCACCTGAGTATCTCTTCCCTTGTCCCCCCTCCTCCTCTTCCTCTGCCAGTTTCTCCCCCATCTCCTTTCCGCCTTCCTCTCTCCCTCCCACTCTCTGGCAGGGGAGGGAAGATGAAAGAAAAGCCGCCGCCGCTGTGATCGACACCACATTGATAGATGCTCTGACAGGGGAGATGAGGGGGAAACCCGGCCAGAGAGAAGGAAAATGGGAAAATATAACAGACATTGCCCAACTAATAAGGGAGAGCGGAAGCAAGAAGGACAAGAAAAAGAGTTGTGGTTTATGATACATTTGGAGACAAGGGAGAAGATGCCAGTGAAAATAAAATCTTCAGGCTTACCGAGAAAAATAAGATGAGGAAGAAGGAACTGAAGACTAGTTCTTAATTATCGCTTTTAACACATTATCTCTTTCACGATGTCCTCGCCACGGAATGTACCGAGTTACTCTACATAGCTCCTGAGTTTTCGAAGATACACGCATGTCTCTGTGCGTGTGTGTGTGTGTGTGTGTGTGTGTGTGTGTGTGAACCTCACAGGGAATGAAAAGACAACCCAAGCAGAGGGCAGGGAAGGCAAAAAGACCCAGGAGAGCGAGTCTAGGGAGTTCAGGGCCGTCTCTGGCACCTTGGACTGCGCACTCAAAGAGACACTTGAAGATTCAAATTCGAATCCAACCTCAAAAATTTTTCAGCCTCCACCGTCTCTTTGATGCATTTTGTAAAAGGACAGGGCTTTTAAGGAGATGCTTTGTGAAAGTAACAGTATAAGCAGACCTGAAGTTTGAAAACACATTACATTTTGTCCCTTGGCTCTCAACCCCCCTCAGTCAAAAATCCAGGGAAAATTATTATACCCAATACAGTAGCCATCTGTAAAACCTCAGAACAGTAAACAAGGGGCAGGAAGAAATGTGTCTCCATCTCCCTTGAATTGAAAATAAGGAACACTACAGAATCCAACTTCAGCTCAGTTACATAGAAATGGCCATGCAAAGACCTTTCTTCTTTTCCTAAGGGAAAGTACTCTAAATGCGCACTTAAAACTTCACCTACTGGTAACTACTTTGTGGAGGGGGATTTTACTATGGAAGAAATTTTTAAAACTATCTTTTAAAGAGTTCAGTTGGTCCCACAGAGCATGTGAATTCTATCTGGGGGATTAGGGTAAATTCAGGGACTGATGATGGGAATCATGAAGAATAAAACATTAAATATCTTTTAAATAGCTGACAACACTATGCCTTACAGAAGTAAAACAGAATATCCAGCAACAATGTGTGTAAGACAATACTAAAAAGGTTGGAAAGAAACCCAATTTGTGTTCTTTTGGGTGGTGCCCGTATGCAACTTCCTTTAAAGTTATGCCTGAGTGTGAGTATAAAGCCCCGGAGATGCGAACCCGTAGCTATGCTACATGAGACATGTATATCCACTGTTCTAAAAGAAAGATAAAATCAAAAGTCCTCCCACAACTGCGCCAATCCACCGATAGGAAAAGAACTGGAAAATAAAATTTCACCAAAGCAGCCTCCATAGACGTTTCTTTTCACCAAACTGTTCAGGATGGGGGGGGGGCGGGGCAATGCGAGAGAACATAGAATGGCCAGCGGGTATATTCTGGAAGCCATGGAAAGATTAAATGACGACTCCTACATCCACTCTGTTTCAGTGTTGCAACTAATTCGAATCCCATTTTCTCCTTCATGTTAATTGTCTGGTCTCCCAGAGTCATTTGGAGCTCAGCTCCAGGTGTCCTGGAGATTAGGAGCTAAAGAAGATGGGGATTTTTAGAACAATAAGTAATGGGAATTGTTTACTAGAAGGGCCGGGATTGGTGGGTGAGTTTGCCGTTTTGCTGTAACCTCCTCTTTTGGAAACATTGTTTCTAACGAAATCATCCAACGCCCTGTTCATTTGCGTGACTGTTTGTCCTCCCCGCGGCGTGTGTGATGTTGGCTGATTGTTTTAGCATTGTTGCAAATCTTCTAATGGGCTGCACTTAAAAAGTCTTTGATACTGTAGATCCAGAATTATTAAAGCTTTCTCTGCGAGGGAGTTGACAATTCCACGTGAAATCTTTCTTCTGGGGCAAATAGCAGGGGGTCGCAGAAGGGACGAGGTATCCCCAGGAAGACGTTTCCCCTCTCTCTACAGGTTTGGTGTAGTCCTTGCAAAGGGCATTTCTGTCACCAGGCGACCTCTTAATTCATGTGTATATGGGGGGTGGGGGCTATTAATCATATGCAGCCGCCTTCTCAGGTACCTGGAGTAGAATCTCAAGGTTCGGGATGTGGGTGCGGCGCGAGATAAACACCACCATCTACCGCCCCCTCAATGTAGAGTCAGGTTGTTCATGTGAACTCGACAGAATGACTGGAGGTTGGCTGTTCGCAGGTTCACTCCTCCAGGATGTGGGTTTCAGGGGGCGTTTTGATGTGATTTAATTCCGACCGTGAAACAATTGCTAGGGGCTGGCTGGATTGCTGTTAGTTTTTCCCCTCCTGGTGGCTTTGGTTGGTTTGTGTGGGTTTAGTTTGGGAGCGAACAGCGACTTGTTTTATATCAACACTTCCTTCTGCACTGGGCACCGTCGCGGGCGCTGCGTGTAGGGGAAGGGGGTGATTGGAGATCGGGGAGCGGACAGCGGCCTCGCGGTCCACAGAATAACCGGCACCCAGCCCCCCCCAGGGGTCAGGGAAACAAGGATGATGACCCTCACCCACACCAAAAGACCCCCTCCCCCAGGAGATTTTGCTGCCAAGTCAGTTGAGTTTGCTACAGACAGTCCAGTGAGTCCTTAATTACGGGACGAGAGAAAACTGCAATGTCCTTCAGAGTCTTTTCCGCCCCCTCCGTCCTAACGTCCAGCCTAGGCTCTGGGTCGTCCCCTTTGTGTGGCTGGAATCTCTCCCGGACACAACTTTGGTGTGATCCCAAAGGAAGAAGGTGGCGGGATGCAAGAGGATACTCTGAGAGAAGCGAGGGAGAAAGACTAAAAAGAACGAATAATGTGATCCCAGAGGCTGGAACTCCGGCACCTCCTATTCCCGAACACCACAATCACGGGAAACTGAAGCTGTGGGCATCTTCAGACTAACGGACTTCGCTAGAAGGGAGAAAAGAGGGGCGAGGGAAATAGCGGTTTGTGTCCCAGGGGCTCTTCTGCCTCTTGCTTCCTCCAAAGACCAACTCTAAACCCTCACCCGCCGGGGGAACAGAGAACTCTTGGGACTGTGAAAATGTCGTTCCCAAATCCGGCTGCTTGCGACCGCCGGGCTTCCGCAAGGCTGGCGCCCGTTGGCGTCTGCAGCTCGGTGCAGCCTCGCGCGGGTGGCGCAAAAGGGGTCCGCCTGCGGAGGACACCGCAGCCGCCCGCCACTCGCACGGTTCCCTCGGCTTCCTTCGCGCTCTGCCGGGTGTGAGGAGCCTGGCATCTGCGCCTCGCTGGGGCGGGGCTCGAGGCGCGACCGTCGAGGGGGCCTGGTTCTCTCACCACCGTGAGGGCGGGCCACATTCCACTCCACCCTGCGGGCTCTGCCGGCAGACCCTAAACTACTTGGAGGCCAGAGCTTATGTATGGCCCGAGACTGTCTGCTGGGAGAGGAGTCACGCGGGGGTGGTCACAGGCTTAGGAACCAGGGAACTCGAGGTTTGCAAAGCGCGCAGAGGACTTGATCAGAAAAAGTCCGGGACAAGCTCCCACAAGGCTAAGCTTCGCGACGGGAACACCACTAGACCCCAGCGGGAACCCGAACCCCTGGGACAGCGCCCTCCACGGTAATAAACAGCGTATAGGGACGGGCGTTACGTCTCTAAGGGCGCTTTCCAGAATGGAATTGGAATGGGGGTGGGAGCTGAAACAAATTTGCGGGCCACAACATGCCTGGTCTAGTGGACCCGACGTGAAATTCTCGTCTCCTTTCTGAAAACTTTCGCAGGCATTGTAAGTTGGCGTGGGGACTGGCCTCTGGAAGCTATCAGCTAGAACGAAGGAGGCGGCACGTCCCAACTTTTCCCTCCCCGCATGCACGGTCCTCCATCGTACCCCACCCAGCCCACCTCACGGGTCGGGAACGCGCACCCGGCAGGCGGTGTGAACAGGCCGCTCGCGCGCGAGTCGCGCCTTATATCGGCGGAGGGCGGCGCCTGCGCAGGGCCGGGCGCGGCGGCGCGGCCTTTGAAGTCTCAGCGGCTGCCGCTTTCATCCTTTCTTTTTTCCCTAGCTGGCCCCTTTGTGTGACTAAATTTGGCGAGGATATGGAGCTGAGCCAGTCTTTCCACGTGTGCTCCCAGCTCCCAGCTGAGAAGGCCAAGGGTTCTCTTCCGGGTAAGGAGACAGGGAGAAAGATCAAAAAGAGTTTGGGGAGCTGGATCTGAAATGTGAATTGAAAATAAAAATCAAGCCTGGACACATTCCAGTTTCTAAAGCAAAACCAATCCTCAGCAGAGGCCTTCTCGCTAGACTCTCTCTCTCCCTCTCTCTCTCTCTCTGCTTTCTTTTACTCACTGCCTTTCTTTCCCACAACTGTCCTTGAACACATGGCATAAAGTAAAGAGAAATAAGAAAACTGTTTTTCCAGATTTTATTTTGCAGTAATTTTATTAGGGGAAATATCTTGTTCATAATTACTGTTATGTGAAGCCGAATTT